TTGTTCTTGGAGAAGCAATATATCCTCATCCGAATTCACTCCAGGAAAGGAAGATTCTCTCTCATTGCGACCCAGGGGATCTGCACATCACACTGTCTATTCCAGGGCCTCCCCTCCATCTCCCTAAGGGTACTACCACCAACCAGGATCTACTGCAGCAAATGGCACAGACTTCCAAAAACTCAGAATTTCAGCTCCACTGTTTGCAAAAACTTGGGATAGTCAGTTACTCAAGATTCCTCCATCAGTGGTTTTGGGGGAGTGCTTTTCTTGTGTGAACCCAACACACTTCTTTCTCTCCCCTTCTTTTTCTCCTCTCCGCGAAAAAAGGCTCCCACGCATGTGTAGCACCGTGGCTTTTTTCCCCTCAGTTTGCCTCTCTGCACCATGTGTCTGCCACTCTCTCTCCATCAAATTATGCAGACTGTTCTCTTAATCCCCAGACCATTTTCCTAGGTGTTCATAATGATTTGATGTTGATCTAGCTGTGTTTGAGGGACGAGACAAGCGCAGGGTCCCCTTACTACTCACTCCACCATCTTAATTCCTCCCTCACAAGCAAAATGTTTTTTAATGTTTAAATGAACTTGTTTCTTTTGTGCCTGTCAATAAAACATTGATCCTATTTATATATAGGTCAATCTTAAATTTAAGGGATGCAATTTTGTTCTTTTAGTGTTGAATAACATGTGTAAATAGGTTTTAATTCTTGTTAAAGATAAATTAAAATCATACATTTTAAAATTCATATGTGTTAAAAAGAATGCCTGTATACTTAAAAATGCATAATCATTATTACACTGCTTATTTGATAACCCTAATTACCAGTTGCATAGTTATCAAGCCATAAGAAGGCCAAAAGATCAGGCAAAATACATGACATGATATCCATGCACTTGACTTAGAGGATATATTTCCACTTTATATTAATGAACTCTTTGGAGTCATGCATAATGATCTTTATTCGATGGCACAATTTCTGTAAAATAAAAACTCTAAGAAACTAAAATATTATTAAACTATGAGAATTTGTTTGAAAAATAAATTGCTGGTTTTATTTCACCTGTTGGGGGTGCCTGGGTGGCTCAGTCCATTAAGCGTCCCACTTCTGCTCAGGTCATGATCTTGTGGTTCACAAGTTTGAACCCCAAGTCAGGCTCTGTGCTAACAGCTTAGAGCCTGGAGTCTGCCTCAGATTCTGTGTCTCCCCTTCTCTCTGCCCTTCCCCTGCTCACACTATGTCTGTCTGTATGTCTGTCTATCTCTCAAAAATAAATAAACATTAAAATTTTTTTCAAAATATTCTTTATGTTTATTTTTGAGAGAGAGTATGAGCAAGGGAGGGGCAGAGAGGGTGATGGAGACACAGAATCTGAAACAAGCACCTGGCTCTGAGCTGTCAGCAGAGAGCCTGACTCAGTGCTCAAACTTGGAAATGACGAGATCGTGACCTGAGCCAAAGTTGGATGCTTAACTGACTGAGCCACCCTGGCGCCCCTGAAATAGTTATTTTTTCTTATTTTTTGGAAAAAGTTGATTTTTATTTATTTTGAGAGAGAGGTAGACTGCAAGCAAGGGAGGGGCAGAGACAAAATCCAAAGTAGGTTCTGCACTGTCCACACAGAGCCCGATTCAGGGCTTGAACTCATGAACCTTTATCAGATCATGACTTGAGCCAAAGTCAAGAGTTGGATGCATAACTGACTGAGCCACCCAGGTGCCCCTTAAGTAGTCATTTTTACCATTTAATATCCTCAGCATTCAATCCAAAGTTTATATGGGAAATATGAAAATACTGAATGGTACATTCTATAGCTTATTCTACTTGAAATTTAATAGCTATCTTTTATCTAAATTTAAATGTTACTCAGAAAGGTAGTGTTGTGTTTAATTTTTAAATATTTTAAAGTATTTATTTATCATTGGGGAGAGAGAGAGAGAGAGAGAGAAATCCCAAGCAGGCTCTACACAATCAAGGCAGAGCCCTAAGTGGAGCTCAAACTCATGAACTGAGAGATCGTGACCCAAGCCAAAACCAAGAGTCAGATGCCTCATTGACTGAGCCACCCAGGTGCCCCTGTTGTATTTAATTTTCAACATATGTTTTAACTTTATCATTATTCAGAATTTTCTAATAGTTCTTAAAATTTCACTTTTATAAGCTAAAAGTGATTTTTGTCTTGACTAACTTTCCTCATGGTTGCAAATAGAGCAGCATGTTTCCTCTTTTCAATGGGCAAGTGGTTCTCTTAAGGGAAGAAAACTTTTCAGAAGTTTCCTCCTGACCCCTTGATTTAAATTGCAACAGTTTTCAGCAGTAAGGTTAAAAATAAATAATTTCAAGTGTAATTATTTAACTGATTTTTTTTTTAATTTCCAGAAGTTTACAGTTTCAAGTTTCATCTTGAAACTTTTCATAAAGCAATGATATGTAGCTTAAAATATGTCCAAACATGAATAATATTGTGGGCTTTTGCCACAGCCTAACTTCATATAATGAAAGAAGTTATTTAAAAGTGTGAATTAGGTTTGGAGAGTTTAGACTTTTGCTATTATACTAATTTTACTCTTTACCCATGTATTTAGACTTTCACTATGTACTAATTTTACTCTACCCATGTATTTAGACTAAATGGACTTTAAGAAATAATGCTTTGCATTACTCATATATGTATGTATTAGATTTGCAAATGACAGTTGATTCAGTTTTTAATATTTTCCCAATTTTGCTTGTGTTCATTTCTTTAATTCCTTGCTCAGAAGAGTATAATTAAAGTCAACTTTGGTCAGTATATTAGTTTTTCTGTTGTGCAAATACCATCATTTCCATGGTCTAGAGTCTTGGCATGGCTTCACTGGGTCCTCTGCTCTTGCTCTCACAAGGCTAAAATGAAGATGTTAGCCAGGCTTTGGTCCTCTCTGGAGGTTGGGGTATTCTTCGAAACTCACATGGTTATTGACAGAATTGTTTCCTTGAGGTTGTAGGACAGAAGTATCCTTGCTGGCCGTAGCCAGGGGCTGCCCTCAGCTCCTAGAGGCTACCCACTCTTCCTTGCCACATAGCCTTCTCACAGCAAAGCAGCTCTTACCTCCAGTGAAGCTGGAGAACCTCCTTCATTTTCTCCCAACTCTTTTAAAGGTGTTAATGTGGTTAAGTCAGGCCCACACATGATAATTTCCCTTTTGTTAACTCAGAGTCAACTGAGTAACAACCTTTAACTACATCTGCAAAATGCTTTTACTTATATTATCTTGTGTTATTTAGAAGCAAGTCACAGATTTCACCTGTACTCAAGGGGAGGCAGGGGATTATACAAGGGTGTGGTTCTAGGGGGCAGAATCATGGATCCCAATTTACAATTCTGCCTACCACAAAGTGAATTATTTCTTAAAACCTATTGATCTAGTTATTTACAAAGGTATAATTACTGTATTATATGTAAGTATATAAATGTAGAATTACTATAAGTTATAGTAAAAGATGTTTGTAATGTTAAACATTCTTGCTGCCTAATTCATAATTGAGTTTATTCTGAAAATACTTTTTGTTAAAATAACATAATTCTATAATGACAGTTTTGATGGTACAACTTTCTAGAACCTTTAAGAATTTGAACTGCAATTAAGTCAAGTTTTATCTTTATTTGTTTTATCTTTATTTAGTACCTTTGGGATCATATGCCTTGATTACAATCTAATGCTGGAAGAATTCGATTCCTTATGAAAAGAGAATAAGAATATAAAAGTCTTCTGATTTAGTGAAAGGGAAAAAACTTTCAAATCATTCCCATTGTATTTTAGCTTTAGTATTTACTTTAAACTTTCAGAGTACTTTGGTATTTATGATCTCATTTTTTCATATGATATGTATATATACATACAAAGAGAGATAGAAGGTCAGAGAGGGAGAGTCTGTCTATTGTATTCTAAGCACTGGGAGATAATCTTTCAAACGGAAATAAGACACCTGCCTTTTTGGAGCATATAGTCTAGTAGGAGAAGAGATAAAACCGAAAACTAATAAAATATGGGAGCTTACATTAGTTCTAGAGGAAATTGAGGAAACAGTGTTTTGTTAGGTTGCACTCTTAGATGAGGTGATCAGGGAAGCTTCTCTGAAGCAGCAGCTCAGCCCATCAAGCATTAATTGTTCTTCCAATAGTTCTTTCGGTATCTCACGGAACTATTGTAGTTAACATGTAACATATGTTTTGTTTGTGGCATTTTATATTTATGCTGTCATGAATTTGTGGTTAAGAAGTCAAATATCCAGGGTTGCCTGGGTGGCTCAGTTGTTAAGTGTTCCAACTCTTGATTTTGGCTCAGGTGATGATCTCACAGTTCATGAGTTCTGTACTGACAGCACTGGAGCCTGCTTGGGATTCTCTCTCTCCCTCTCTTTCTGACCCTTTCTGTGTTCGTGCTCTCTTTCTCTCAAAATAAGTTTAAAAAATAAATTTAAAAAAGTCAGATATCCAGAGTGTGATATTCAAATATTTCTGTGTAAAATAGACTGACTTTCTTTTTCTTTCTTTCTTTCTTCCTTTCTTCCTTCCTTCCTTCCTTCCTTCCTTCCTTCCTTCCTTCCTTCCTTTCTTTCTTTCTTTTTCTTTCTTTCTCTCTTTCTTTCTCTCTTTCTTTCTTTCTCTCTTTCTCTCTTTCTTTCTCTCTCTCTCTCTCTCTCTCTCTCTCTCTCTCTCCTCTACTCTTCTCCTATTCACTTTCTTTCTTAATGTTTATTTATTTTTGAGAGAGATAGAGTGTGATCAGGGAAGGGGCAGAGAGAGAAGGAGACACAGAATCTGAAGCAGGCTCCAGGCTCTAAGCTGTCAGCACAGAGCCTGATGCAGGGCTCAAACTCATAATCCATGAGATTATGACCTGAACTGAAGTCAGATGCCTAGCTGCATGAGCCACCCAGGCACCCCCGGACTTACTTTATAAATATATTTCAAGATATAGTAATAAAGCAACTAATACAAAAATACTTCTCTTTTTAGGAATGGTGGAAAGCAGCAGACATAATTGGAGCGGTTTGGATAAGCAAACTGATATTCAGAATTTAAATGAAGAGAGAATTTTAGCTTTACAGCTTTGTGGGTGGATAAAGAAAGGAACGGATGTAGATGTAGGGCCATTTTTGAACTCCCTTGTGCAAGAAGGGGAATGGGAGAGAGCTGCTGCAGTGGCATTGTTCAACTTGGATATTCGACGAGCAATCCAAATCCTGAATGAAGGGGCATCTTCAGAGAAAGGTATTAGGTTATATATAAGATAATTGCAGTTCATAGAATCCTTTAAAGTAAAGATGCTGAGAACTTTGAAATATATAATCAATGTTTTTAGATAAATTTTTTTGAAAGAGAAATGAGCACAGAACTGTATCTATGAAAGTAAATATCCCATCTCTTTTGTTTATGCCTTGGTTTGTGTCTGTAAAAAAGAAAATGTGTCTTAAGTACCATTTTAATAACATTACAGTGAATGCTCAAATGCCTCCTTTTTAATTTTTTTCTTTTAAAGATAGTTCACATACATTTTTAAAGATGTATTGGACATTGGACTACTTCCGTTTGCAGGCATTCTTTATGGCTAACATTTGAGTGTATTTTATACTTCATTTTTTGGATGGTTATTGGTTGACTTTAAGAAAACCAAATGACACTTTTAGTTAGACTAATATAGCTTCTTATAAAAACCATACTTTGATCTGAAAAAAATGCCTTTACTGGAGTCTGGTGATTTAACCATAGTTTCTATGTAATATTTCTTTAAAAGGAAGAAAGTATGAAATATGGTAAATGTTTTTCCTCTGACATTTTGCAAGTAAATTTCAATCCAGAAATTCAGTTTTTTTCTTTTCAGGAATATTTCGCTTGAAAATAACTAAGATACACATATCTGTTGATTTTTAATAAACCTAGCAAATTACTTCTGAATATTCAGAATGTGTAATTCTTATTTGTTGGTCCATTTTGAAAACATTACAGATCTATTGTGCCATAGAGAAAAACATGCAAATAGCTGTACTGTAATTTACTTGCCGTTAAAAAAGTTTGAAAAGCTAATGTTTGCCCAGATTGGCCTCTTCCTTCATTTTTGCTCCAGTGTAATAAGTCTTCCCCATTTGTGAGTGCAATAGAAGATAATGTGAAGATGAAAAAAAGAATCGATATTTAAAACCATTTATAATTATAATTTTGCAATAACCTGAGAACATGATACTTCCCTGTCATGTGTACCTGGAAAATTTGGTGTTAGATTCAAACACCCGTACTATCAATTGGGGAAAGTATCTTTCCAGTGATTATAACTTAGTTAAGGACTAAGGAAAAGATTTTTTGAGTCAGATATTCCTTTCCACTTGGAAATAAATTGTTTTAAGCAGGATTCAGGAAAATATTCCTTTGTTGTGGTGGTGGTGGTTTTAATCTTAAAAGACTTTAAATCTAATGTAATAAAGTAGGCAGAGGAAGCAAGCACAAAATAACTTGGGGAAAGTATTTATAGAAATGAAGAGCAACGCTATTTAAGGACATAAAATGGGAGGCGCCTGAGTGGCTCAGTTGATTAAGTTTCCGACTTTGGCTCAGGTCATGGTCTCACGCTTGTGAGTTTGAGCCCCGCATCTAGCTCTATGCTGACAGCTCAGAGCCTGGAGCCTGCTTCCAATTCTGTGTCTCCCTCTCTCTCTCTCTCCTCACCTGCTTGTGCTCTGTCTCAAAAATAAACATTTAAAAAAAAACATAAAATGGAAAATTCTGGGTTTTTTTTTTGGAAAAGAAAGAAAATGATTAGTTTCAAGGAACAGAATAAGAAAACTGCTATAATAAATGTAGAAAATACTTAAAGATGAATTTAGTTTTCTCTTTTGAAGCTGAACTTTCATTAGAAGGGTAAGCAGTCATAGGGCTGACTACCAGGTCAGCAGCTTACTGTGCCTGGATGAACTGTTAGGAACTACAGTTTAGAAGACTATTGATAACAAATGCTTTGTGGCACATGTGTCTAAATACAATATTACTTTGTTAATTCTGATAGTTAATTTTGTCCTAGAAAAATTAAAAGTATAATACTATAATAAGAATGCTGAAATACTGGCTTTCAAAAAAAATTATGTTAATGTTTTATTTATTTCTGAGAGAGAGAGAGAGATAGACAGCATGAGCAGGGGAGGGTCAGAGAGAGAGGGAGATACAGAATCCATAACAGGCTCCAGGCTCCGAGCTGGCAGTCAGCACAGAGCCTGATGCGGAGCTTGAACCCATGAACTGTGAGATCATGACCCATGAACTGTGAGATCATGACCTGAGCCGAAGTCGGACGCCTAACCGACTGAGCCACCCAGGCGTCCCTGAAATACTGGCTTTCAGAACACATCCTTAAGTATGGCGCATTCTATATCTAGGGATAGGAAAACAAAATGATTTTGAAAATTAATAGTCCTGAGGTACAGTAATATTTACTATTAATGCTTTGAAACATCTCAACATTAACGAACTTGATAAGGCTGGCGGTGATTCTGGTAGTACGGTATTACTTCTCTTCATTTAGACCCTGAACAATAACACAGAATAGAAACCTCCCTGGAATGAGAACTTGAAATTTTAATGATGTGCTGGTCCTGCATAGGGTTAGAAATATGGGCAAATTTATTTATAAGAATGGAAATTTTTGCTTGTGGTCCTTGCCAAATTTTCCAGTCTGGATCAAAACCTTAATTCCAGTGGGCTTATTTTTCTGTAGGTAAATGTTGCCTTCCAGTCTTTATTGGTTTATAGTTTAAGAATTGGAAGAGGAGATATTAAGCTTTTGATCACTTTGATTAGCTGACTGTTTTTAATATGCAGGCGATCTGAATCTCAATGTGGTAGCAATGGCTTTATCAGGTTACACAGATGAGAAAAACTCCCTTTGGAGAGAAATGTGCAGCACTCTACGACTACAACTAAATAACCCCTATCTGTGTGTCATGTTTGCATTTCTGACAAGTGAAACAGGATCTTATGATGGAGTATTGGTAAGCTAATTTCTGTTGGACGAGACTCCTTTTAAAATAAAAGTTTTTTATCTAGCCTTGGTAAAATTTTCAAATGTCCGTTGCATAAAAAGTTGTTACATTTTAAAGTATTTTGTATTTAAAATAAAGTATTCTTAAATATTTTTGAGCAGCTCTTGAATATCATTCTACAGTTAGGTAGCTGATTACAAACTTGATTTTTTAAATAGTTTTAACAATATAATTTACAGATGTAGAGGGCATAGGATTTTATTCTTTAGCTTAAGAACAGCTCTAGAATTCTACAACTATATAAACATAAATTTTATATTGAAATGCATTTTTTTAAGTTTATTTATTTTGAGAGAGAGTGAGTGAGAACAGGGGTGAAGGGCAAGAGAGAGAGAGAGAGAGAGAGAGAGAGGGAGAGAGAGAATCTCAAGCAGGCTTTGCACTGTCAGCACTGAGCCCCGACATGGGGCTCAAGCTCATGAACCATGAGATCATGACCTGAGCTGAAGTCAAGAGTCAGATATTTAACTGACTGAGCTACCCAGGCACCCAAAATGCAATGTTTTTAGAAGTGTGTGTTTTTGTTTTTAGTTAAGTAAACAAGCACATGATCAATTACGATTAGAATGACCATGTATCTTATCTGAGTTAGTATTTGCATTCTCAGACATATATATACAGTTTGGAAGATCTATAATCACATTACTTATATGAACTGTTTCAGTTGTTCATTATTTGGTCTTTCATTACTTTTTTCTCCTGCTTTACTCACACACACACACATATATATATATATATATATAATCACCAAATAGGTTCTTTACACAAAGACAGAAAGAGTGAAATGAGATGTGCTTATCAGTTTCATTTATACTGTTTTAAGCTTCACATTAGTAGTATAGCTTTTTGTGCATTGTTGGACTTCTTTCTACCACTAAAAAGAGCTTTCTAACATGGAACTTATTTCTGTGTTTGCCATTATAACACTTCATATAAAAGACACAATGCTTGGATGATTGATTTAAGTGTCAGTCTGTAAGAATTAAAAAAAAAACAAAACCACCATGTGTTTTATTGAGGTATCTTAATGAAAATATTAATAAATGTTAATGTCTATTTTTTGGCAGTTCATTAGTTTATGAATTTTGTCCATTAACTTCTTTTCTTTTAAAATTTTTTAAATGTTTATTTTTGAGAGAGAGAAACAGAATGTGAGCAGGGGAGGGGCAGAGAGACAGGGAGACAGAATCTGAAGCAGGCTTTAGGCTCCAGGCTGTCAGCACAGAGCCCGATGTGGGGCTTGAACTCACGAACCTAACCATGAGATTATGACCTGAGCCGAAGCCGGACACTTAACCAACTGAGCCACCCAGGTGCCCCACCCCATCCATTAACTTCTAATAAAGGAACTATTGAACTTCTCTAGCCACTTCAAATTAATATCCAAGAATTTTTTTTATTTGTTTTTACTTATTACTCTTTTTTACTAAACAGAAGACTTTAAATATTGCATTTTGAAGAAATAAAGCAATTATTTTCAGGAAGTAGTAAAGTATGGTAAAGATAAGAAAAAGAAGTGGATTATTGAAATTTTATGTTTATTTATTTTTGAGAGTGATAGAACATGAGTAGGGAAGGGCAGAGAGACAGGGAGACAGAATCTGAAACAGGTTCTAGGCTCTGAGCTGTCAGCATAGAGCCTGACACGGGGCTCATACTCATGAACTACAAGATCATGACCTGAGCCGAAGTCAGAAGCTTAAGGACTGAGCCACTCAGGTGTCCCAGATTGTTCAAATTTTAAATTGATAGAGAAGTACTGTTTAAATACTGAATTTCTGTAGTTTAAATTAAGTGATCTATTATAAATACCCTTATTTCTTTATATCTAAATATGGGTTATTAGATAAGGTGTATCTTACCTTAAGTAGAAAGTTCATATTTCCAAACTCTTTTGAGAGTGTACCTAATTATACTTTATGTGTTAATAATTATAATTAGTGTGTCCTTTGTTAAAAATTGTTAAGTTGCAGTAATCTAATGAAAAGTACTGAATTTGGAAATCAGAAGATAGTCCTTGCTCCAGCATGGTTACTTCAGTTAGTCAGTTTTTTGGATTTTAGTTTTCTGAGCTGTAAAATGGGGCAGATAACATTTATAATTCTTTTCCAATCAAAATTGTAACACATGCACTGAATCTAAAGAGTTAAATCTAGTTTGTATGAAACATGTTCCCTCTTAAGGACAGTACTGTATTTTATAATTGGCAGTAAATTCTACAGTAGGTATCAGTTGAAATGATCTTATGTTTAAAGAAGGAAGACTATATTTCATAGGATGACTTCAGTGGAAATAGGATCTTTTTTCCACTTTACACTGTTTTGTATTTATCACAAAATTAATTACATTTCTACATTTATAGAAATTCAAAATATTATTTTATAATATTGACAAGCATACAAGTATATCACAATACCCCTGAAAATTTTGCCGCAGCCACCTACATAGCAGGGTTTTACCATGACCAAAGAAGTGTGTCTATTTATTTATAAGGGTATGTTTAAAAATTACCACTTTGTGTTTAGACACATGTATTGATAGTCTTTTTAAATTCAGTATTGGTATATTCACTGGCAATTCACAGATTTCAACAATCACAGATTGTTGATTAACTTAGCATCCCAGAAAAGATTTCCTCAGTTTCCCCCAAATTAACTTTTATAATGGAAGGGTTACAATGCATCTTAAATTTGATAAACTGTATGTTAGAGTTATATAAAACTGAACACTGAACTGGAATTTTTTTAAACTGAATTGGTCAGTATTTTAGATGTAAATTTTTACTTTGCAAAAATAGTAACCTTAGCATGGAATTTCCTGAGGGCTACATTGAGAAAGACATCTTAGGGGCACTTGGGTGGCTCATTCAGTTATATACACAATAACTTACTAATACATTTGAAAATAAAATAATATATTAGATATGTAATGTAGTCTGCAAAAATATAAAACAGCACCTACAAGTAACTCCTTGCTTTTTCTCTCCTTTTCAGTATGAAAACAAAGTTGCTGTACGTGACAGAGTGGCATTTGCTTGTAAATTCCTTAGTGATAGTCAGGTAAAAACTGATATAATTCTGTATTTGAAGTTATTCATATTTACTCTTACTGGATTAGGGAATTAATCTTTTTGTACAAATATGTATATGTGACATTTATATATAAATTATTCTAAAAAAGTAAAGTAATAATTTCTTTATTAGATCAAGATATTGTAAACCTGTGTATCATAACCAAAATTGCTTGTGTAAGAATGCTGACTTAATATTTTAGTTTATTTCTGCTTTTGGCCTATAGATGTTAAACTCACTTCTTAGAGATGTTATAAGAGAATTCCTTCATTTTCTATACAATAAACAAGTATTAAATGCATGTGCTACGTATATAGTGAGAGAGAAATGCATAAAAACAACCAGGAATATAATGTGCTGAGTACTACAATGAGAAAGTGCTGGGGGAACATAGAAGAATCTTGGCTATGGGTTGGGGTGGGAAGAGGCCTGGGAAGACCTTACCAAGAGATAAGTTATTTTTGACAATCTCAAAGTTCCTTTTCAACTCCATTTCTATTACAGCAAAAACTTGGCAGAATAACGAGGACAGTTCTCTTTAAATTTAAAATAGTAAACTCTCTGTAGTTCTTTTATAGAATAATTATTAAAACAATAAATATCTTGCTATTTTAAATAAGTGTTTTAAATGATCATGGATTCTGCATTGTAATTTATGATAGATGCAGACTTCTTAGAGATCATATCTAGATTTTTGCAAGGACTTTGTTTTTAAAATGTTTTCCATAAATATAGCACTATTCTAAAAGTACAAGTTTTGAAAGTACAAAGTATATAGTGAAACATACTACAGAAATATCACTTTGAATTTTCCAGTTAAATAGGTATATTGAAAAGTTGACCAACGAAATGAAAGAGGCTGGAAATTTGGAAGGAATACTGCTTACAGGCCTTACTAAAGATGGAGTGGACTTAATGGAGAGTTATGTCGATAGAACTGGAGATGTCCAAACAGCAAGTTACTGCATGTTACAGGTTAGTGCAGTGTGGCAGCAGCTTAAAGAAAAATAGTGCTTAACCACCCTCCTCCCTTATTGAGTGGTTATGCCTTTTGTGTGCTTAGGATCTTGAGAGGGCATTTAACTTTAACCCAATCTCTTGGTCTGTAGAGGACTTCTACCTTATCTTACTGAGTTATTCCTTTCATTTTGGACAGTTTCAGTGTTGAATTTATATAAAGTTCAAATGGAGCAGAGAAACTTCTCTCTAGTTTGTCCAGTTGACAAAATTATACCTTTTGCAAAAGGAGTTGTCTTTCCCTGAACTACAGTCTCACTTGAAGTGCAGAAGGCAAGTTATATCACAACTCTCTTAACACTCATTTTCGCTTTTTGTAATCAGTGGGCATGATTTGGGGTAACCAGTTCATCAATTTACTCTGTTTTCACTGTCCAGCAGGTAAAAACAGATTTCTGGCAAAGGTTTCCTTCTGCTTTACTTTTGATAGAAATACTGTGAAAATTTAGAGTATTTCCCAGAGATTTCCCATAGCCCTCCAACTCTTCTTCCCCTCTCATGGTGTGCTCTTTCCTGTCTGCATCCCTTCATACAATATGATAGCATGCTGTATATGGGGTAAACCTAGTAAAATGCCCCTCCCCCACCCTACCTTCTCAGGAACAAATCTAGATACTGGTCCACAAACCACACTATAATATACTTACCAGCATATCAGGCCGCTGTCCATGGAAGAAAGGGTGTTTATTCTGTGACATAATGCATAGTTTTTTTCTGACTGAAATGAGATTACATCTGTTAAATCACAGTGGAGGAATATGGCTATCAAGTACAAATGAGTTGATAACTTCTTAACAAGATTTAAAAATGTATTTAATATACAGACAGTGTATAATTGGATCTTGCTTTTTAAAAAAATCCATTCTGGGGGCACCTGAGTGGCTCAGTTTGTTAAGCATCTGACTTCAGCTCAGGTCATGATCTCACAGTTTTGTGAGTTTGAACCCCATGTCGGGCTCTGTGCTGACACCTCAGAGGCTGGAGCCTGCTTCAGATTCTGTCTCTCCCTCTCTTTCTCTGTTCCTCCCCCTCTCATGCTGTCTCCCTCCCAAAAATAAATAAAAACATAAAAAAATCCATTCTGATGTTTCCCCGTTTATATTTATATGATCAAGGTTAAGCCTACCATCATGCTGTTTGTTCTCTGATTTTTCCTTCTTCCTTTTGTTCTTCTGTCCCTTTCCTCCCTTCTTTTGGGCTAATTGAACATTTCATTGTTTCACTTCACCCATTGGCTTTTTAACTATTAACCCTTTCATTATCTTTTTAATTTTTTTTGAAGTAGTTCCTCTCGCTCTAACAATAATGCATCCCTACCTCATTAGTCTACATTTTACCCCCTCATACTTCACATTTCACGCCTGACGTATCATGATTCATACTTTTTTACCGCACACCTAACATTTCCACTTTGGCTCCATACTTCACACTTTTCAGATGTTACAACAGTGTAATTCCATTTACACATCTCCCTCCTTTGTCCTATTATTTTACTTCTATATACCTTATAAACTCCAGCTAATAGTGTTATAGTATTTGCTTTGAACAGTCACTTGTCTTTTATGTAAATTATGTGAAGAATGAAAACATGGACTTATTATTTATTTATTTACTTATTTATTTACCATTCCTGGGACTGTTTATTTCCTCCAATAGATACAAGTTTCACATTGTATTATTTCTCTTTGGTCTTTCTCTCTGGCATTACTTGCAATATAGTTTAATGGGTGACAGATTCTCTCAGCTTAATCTTAACTGGAAATGTCTATTTCACTCTTTCTTTCAGCACTCGAAAGGTGTGGTTTCATAGTCTTCTGGTCTCCATTGTTTACGAAGAGAAATCAGCTATTATTATTGTCTCCCCTGTATAATTTTTCCTTGGGCTGCTTTTGATTTTTAGCAGTTTACCCTTGATGTTTAGTTGTAGTTCTTTTTGTCCTGCTTGTTGCTCACTGAGCTTCTTGGATCTGCAAGTTAGTGTTTCTCTTAAATTGCAAACTTCTTCAGGTTGTTTAAATGCTATCATTTGTTCATTGACTCTTATGTCACCTGATGAGAAGATTTTCAGGGGATTCTTAATTTCAGCTCTTGTATAGTTTAATTCTAGAATCTTGATTTTTATATATTTTACATTTTTTACTCAGATCCCTATCTTTACACTGATTAAAATACTTTTCCTGGGGCATCTGGATGGCTCAGTCAGTTAAGCGACTCTTTTTTTTTTTAATATATTTTTTTAATGTTTTATTTATTTCTAGGAGAGAGAGAGAGACAGCGTGACCAGGGGAGGGTCAGAGAGAGAGGGAGTCACAGATTGAAACAGGCTCCAGGCTCTGAGCTGGCAGTCAGCACAGAGCCTGACGCGGGGCTCGAACCCACGAACCGTGAGATCATGACCTAAGTGAAAGTCGGACGCTTAACCGACTAAGCCACCCAGGCACCCCAGGCGACTGACTCTTGATTTTGGTTCAAGTTATGATCTCGCAGTGCTGGGCTCTGTGCAGAGTGTGGAGCCTTCCTGAGATTCTCTCTCTCCCCTTCCTCCATTCACATGTACAAGTGTGCTCTCTTCCTGTCTCTCTCAAAATAAATAAATAAACATTAAATAAAAGAACAAAAGACACAAAAAAGCAAAACCCTACTTTTCCTTTAAGTCTTTGAACATATATCTAATAATTGCATTTAGGATTTTTCCTGCTAACTCTCGTAACGTGGGCTATTTTAGATACAGTTTTTGTTGACCGCCTTTTTCCTTGACTTTAAACTGTATTTACCGTGTATTTCTGGTGGTTTTTCATTTGAATACTGGATGTTGTGTGTAGTGCATTATAGAGATCTGGGTTCTTTTGCCTTTTCCTGAAGAATGTTGGTTACTGCTTTTGGAAGTTCAGGTATTAGCTGCTTACTTTGGTCTTAGATTTTCTTACTTTGGATGTATGGAAAGCCCGGTTATTTCTCAAGCCTTCCCACTCATAATCTCTGAACTGTTTACATTGCAGATTTTCTTGGAGCTTAAATTTAGGTTTATTTGGGGGCAGATCTAGAGAGGACTTATCAAATATGAATTAACCAAATTCTTTCTTAGTTTATTCGTACTGCTGTGTAAGGGGAAAGTGTGGGATATGAAGATTTATTTTTTTCTGTGAATTTTCGTTTTAAACTAGGGATTATATTTTTATTTTAGTTCTTAGTTCTGGCCAGTTGGTCATTATTAGGACTAGAGGAGATGTTTACTTTTTTTAACAAATGAAATTGTCAGCCAAGAGTTTCTCACGTACTCATTTTGCTGAATTTTACTCTGGTAATTGAAATTAATACCTAATTAATAGGTGAAAGATAAGCTTCTTCTGTTTTGATAGAATGTCAAAAGATAGATTGTCTATTAACTGTTAGCAGGTTTCTTCCCTTTTTCCATAAGAAAGATGCTAAGTTCTAACATTTTACTTTTCTAACTGGTTCCCTAAAACTGGGAAAACTGGGCTTCATATTGATGCCTGTAGCATCATTGGAGGCTGATACATTCTCTACTTTCTTCATCATGTGAACTTAAGGAAAATATCCTGGACAGGGCTAAAAGCATAGCACAGGTGAAATGTGAAATGTCACAGCTGCCAGGGAGAATACAGCTTTAGGAAGAGTCTTACTGGCAAGAAATTGAAGTTTGTAATGAGAAGAAACCTAAAGTAAATTTAAGGTAAAGAAAGTGTTGCTTTTCACTGTGGCCTAGGGGCAAAGGAATGAAGAACATTTTTGTTTTGTTTTGTTTGTTAAATTTTAAGGTAACAAATGTGTTTTAATTGAGGGCAAGAGAGAAATAGGTTTAACTTTCAGATAAATAGATATACAAAAAAAGCATCTCCATTCACAGTACACCGCCAGATACAAAGGACAGGACTCAGTATTATTTTATATGTAATGGAGCTATTTTGAAATTTTTTTTAATGACTTATTTTTGAGAGAGACAGAGACAGAGCATGACCTGAGTAGGTAGGGGTAGAGAGATAGAGAGAAGGAAACACACAGTTTGAAGAAGCCTCCGGGCTCTGAGCTGTGAGCACAGAGCCTGACCTGGGGCTTGAACTCATGGACTGTGAGATCATGACCTGAGCCAAAGTCGGTCGCCCAACCGATTGAGCCACCCAGGCACCCCAAATGGAGCTATTTTGGTATGCTTTCAGATTAGATAGTAAACAGATTTTGTGAAGGCATAAGTTTTAATTTGGGGGATAAAATATTCATATCACTTTGTACTGTATTCAAGTAGGAAGGTGAATTGTTGACTCCTCGGTCCTTAAATGTAAGTAAGAGGTACAAAATTACACTTTTCTGGCCAGGTATAATGATAATATATGTAGTACATATTTATGTCATTAGTAGAGGCCAGCTTAAAGTAAATTAAAGAAGCTTCGGTCAGTTATTTTATCTGTATCCTCTTTAGGAATCAGCTTTTGGCAAAAAGGTACCCTATTTCTTTTGTGTGACTCATACTCACATGTTACCTGGAATCCTTTGACTTAGCCAGGAAATTTTTAAACAACTGTATTAATTCATGTTTTCTTTTTAGGGTTCTCCTTTAGATGTTCTTAAAGATGAAAGAGTCCAGTACTGGATTGAGAATTATAGAAATTTATTAGATGCCTGGAGATTTTGGCACAAACGAGCTGAGTTTGATATTCACAGGAGTAAGTTGGATCCCAGTTCTAAGCCTTTAGCTCAGGTAAGTAAGTACATTATTTTGGAGAGAATCAAATTGTAACATGTACTTAATAATCCAGCTCCAAGTAGAAGTGTTTACAGCATGTTATATTGGGTAAATTTAGAGTTCAGTTTAATAAATTATTATCATTAGCTCATTCTTTTGCTTATATTAAGTTCCTGTTGATGTCTGTCTGTCCCCAACTGCACTCTGTCCTTGACCATCCAGTGTTTTCAGTCCGGTCACTTCCTGGCAGTCATCTCAGTGGTTTGAGCTTTCATCTGAGCAAACTACCACAGGCCTAGAGGATCTTAGGCAAACCTAAATCCTAGGGCTCAGGTTTTCTGATATATTCCAAGCCTTTTCAGAATCTCTTATGCTATATATATATATATATTTAAATGTTTGTTTATTTATTTTGAGAGAGAGAATCTCAAGCAGACTCTGTGCTGTCAGTGCAGTGACCACACACCGTGAGATCACAACCTGATCTGAAATCAAGAGCCAGATGCTTAACCAACTGAGCCACCCAGGCGCCCCTAAACTATTATACTATCTTGTCAATTCCATTTATGTATTAAATTTTTCTGCATGATTTATGTATAATAAGGCAGAATTTTCTTTTTTCTCTAACAGTATATACATATATCTATATGTCTAATTAAACATGGACACTTTTTTCTTTTAATGTTAGATTAAAAATCCGTAGCTCAGTTATCACATAAAGCACATGACATGAGATCACTGTATCTAAATTCAGACATTAAATATCAGGTATATCCTCAGTGTGAGCACTGGATGGTGCTATTTTCTTATTTTAGAAAGTTGAGAAATTAGTGATTATATTAAAACAACCGAAATTTTTGTACAATAGTATTACATGGTAATATTTGTTACTAATCTATATAAGTGTTTAAGAGCTGAGGAATTTAACGTAAAAGCAAAATGAACAGTTTCTGTTGCTATTATTCTAAAATTCTAATTATTTGACATTATAGGATCCTTAGCCCCTTTTGTCTCAGGAATAGAGTACTTTCTTTATGAGAAAATTTTGTTTAGGAGATTAAATCATTGAACTTTGGATCAGAAATTAAAATGGGTTATTTTATAATGTTCCATTGTGAATTCAAAAGTCTTTGTTGGGGCGCCCGGGTGGCTTAGTCGGTTAAGCGTCCGACTTTCGCTCAGGTCATGATCTCGCGGTTCGTGGGTTCGAGCCCCGCGTCAGGCTCTGTGCTGACTGCCGGCTCAGAGCCTGGAGCCTGTTTCAGAGTCTGTCACTCCCTCTCTCTCTGACCCTCCCCTGCTCACGCTGTCTCTCTCTCTCCTAGAAATAAATAAAACATTAAAAAAAAAAAAAGTCTTTGTTATTTCCAAAATGTTGTTATCTAATATTTCCAAGTTTTTCTACAGATACCGGTGGTAATAAGAAAAATAAAACTAAACAGAGGTAGCAGAGAAGGACTCAAATAACATAACCGCTAAGTGGAAATCTTAAATGAGGGCTGGTCAAACTTAGCAGATACCAAATGACTTTATAATGTAAAATAAAGGTTAACAATTATTTAAGAGTAATTTGATACTTAGTCCTCCTTTCATTTTGTATAGGTTTTTGTGAGTTGCAATTTTTGTGGCAAGTCAATCTCCTACAGCTGTTCAACTGTGCCTCATCAGGGCAGAGGTTTTAGTCAGTACGGTGTCAGCGGTTCACCAACAAAATCTAAAGTCACGAGCTGCCCTGGTTGTCGGAAACCCCTTCCTCGATGTGCGCTTTGCCTCATTAATATGGGAACACCTGTTTCTAGCTGTCCTGGTATGACATAATTCTATAATTTTCTGAACTGAAATCATTCCTGTATAATTGATTTAATGTTGTAAATAGAAGACATACTAGGTTGATTTTATATTGTTTCTAAGAGCAAGCCGCTTTGCTGGCTTAAAGGTTTTGTATTTCCTGTAATTTATAAAATCTATACATTAAAATTATAACCTGTATTCATGATATCACAAGTAATCTCACAAATGCTGGCCAATTTAAAGTTCATGAAAAGGGTTTAACTGTTAAGTAACCTGTAATTATACTATTTTCTTATCACTTTTTCTAAGAGTTCCCTCCAATTTTATGTTTAAAAGTCAGTGTGCCCTCATTTATTAGCAAGTACCTTGTACTCATAAAGAGCTTTTCTTAGTCCCAAAGCACTTTCACATTCTCTCTTACATAATCTTCAAGGTCTACCTGTGAAATACATAGAGAAAGTGTTAGTCTAGAAGTCAGATCCCTTTACTTCCAGGTTTTGCCGCTGCTTCTGCTGGATATGTCAGCTAACTAGTAAATATATATATTTTTTAATGGTTAGAAATATTAGGATTATTGTTGACTGCTTATAGTAAACATATAGAAAAAATTTTTGAAAACGGTAGATAATTGAATATTATGTGTCCAGTGGCAAGAAATATTCTAGCTATTTTTGTAGCTTGAAAATTATACTATGGCAAAAATTTTAATTAAAAACATTTGAGTATTTAGCACACTGATATAATCAAGTACTGGATATGGTGTCAGAATGCCTGTTTTATTCTTCCTCTGTGACAGTCTGGGACACTGAGAGTTATTTTATCCTTCTTTCATATAAGGTGTTAGATAGAGATCCTTTCTAGTTATGAAATTTTATAATTTGACTGCAGTTGGTTCATGTAAATAGTTCATTTGTTACATTAACATCTGTGAAAGAGATTTTCTGGTATCATTGGCTAATTATTTTTCAAGTTTGATGCCTTTAAGCAAATAAAGGCAATTTGTAATATTTTCAAATTTATATATTAGTTCTAATTGAAATTTCAGTCAAGGATTTTCATTTTATATATTGCATGTTGATCATTTTTATGGTCCCAACACTAGTAAATAGAAGATAGTTTGAACTAAAAATCTACAGTGAAAGAACAAGGAGGCAAAATATTGCATAAAGAAGTTCTATATGAACTGGAATACATAAAAATAATTAAATTTGGTACATCTTTCACACCATTACCTCAGGAAGCCATAATGGCCTGAGTGCTATTATTTTTTGCTAGATATTTGCTTTTCAATCTTTTTTATTTTTGATATAGGTAAGAAAGGATAAAATCAGCTTTCTAAAATTTGAAGGAAACTCAAAACATTTTACTGTCTCTGATATGGAGACTTAATTTAATAAATATTCAACACTCAGGTTTATAAAATCTTAACATTTTTCCATATTTGCATCAAAAATGTTTTTCTTATTTTGCTTCAGTAATTTTTTTTATATAATATATTTTTGAACACTTGCTAAGATAAGGCTGTATGTTGAGCTCAATCAAAGATCCTCATGGAGTTTACAGTGTACAATAAGCATGGATAAAATAAGAAATGGTATGTTTAAGAAAAGAAATAATGGTCCAGAATCCCTTATCTATCATTCCAAAACCTCTAAAAAGATCTGAAATCCAAAGTTTTACACTATACAGACAAACAAAAGAACCCGTTCAGAACTGACAGAAGGCTGTTAGGGTCTTTGATTACAGGATGCTGCCTCAGACTTTCCTTGAGTTGTTATATAGTATTTGCTCACTATTTTCCTAAAATCCCAAGTTTTCTGTATTCTGAAACACATTTAGCTTTCCGGGTTGAATAAGGAATATTGTATAAAGAAAGTGTTATACTTCCATTTGAAGGACATTTAGAAAACTTCACAAAGAATATGCCATTTAAGGTGGTCCTTTAAAAAAAAGTTTGAGAGATTTAAATATGTGAAAATTTTAGAGAGACCTTCCCAGGTTGTAGACAAAGAGTCAAAAGCATAAGCAAGGGTAAAGAGATTAGTAAGTGTTAGCACTGAGAGTATATGGGAACTAGCAGTTGCATCTGGATGACCAGGGCCTCTGAAGGAGACTAATAGGAAATAGTGAGGGCAAATTAGGGAAACCTGGTCTTTAAAGGATTGCTCAGCTGAGTTAATTAACAAAATACAGCTGATCTTTGAACAGCATGGTGGGGGGTTAGTGGAGCCAACCTCCAAATAGTCAAAAATCCAGGGATAACTCTTGGCTCCCCCAAAACTGAACGACTAGTAGCTTACTGTTCACTGGAAGCCTTACAGAAAAGATAAATAGTCGGTTAACACATATTGTATGCTTTGTGTATTATATACTGTATTCTTACAGTATATGTTAGGAAAATAAAATGTTAAAAAACTCATAAGGAAGAGAAGATATATTTACCATACTGTAAAACAAATCCACATGTAAGCAGATCCATATAGTTGAAACTCATGTTTTTCAAGGGTCAGCTATAATAAGCATATTCTTTTTTTAGTATGTAAAATCAGAAGACTCTGGGTTCCAAAATAAGACAGGGCTTAATAGAAATGCTAGCTGAAGGTAGTTTAAAGATTGAGATATACACATTCCCCTGTTGCTTTGCCTACAGTTAGAGATATCCATCCATCATGCTTTGGGTCTGTAGCACTTATCTTTGTAATTCACTATGAATATTTTAAAAGTTACAACTATTTGATCTTTTTTGAGTATAGTTGACACACCCTTTACGTAAGTTTCAGGTAGGTGTACAGTTTAGTGATGTGACAAGTTTATATGTTATATACTATGTTCACCACAAGTGTAGCTACCATCTTTCCTGTTACCTCACTATTACAGTATCATTGACCGTATTCCTTATATGTTCTGCCTTTATTCTTGTAACTTAACCATTTCATTACTGGAGGCCTGTATCTCCCTCTCCCCTTCCCATTTTGCCCAACCTTTCCCATCCCTCCCTCTGGCAACCATCAGCTTTATTCTCTGTATTTATACGTCTAATTCTGCTTTCTTTTTTAAGAATTTTTAAAAAATTTATTTACTTTGGGAGAGAGTACCAGGAGGGGAGGGGCAGAGAGAGAGAAGGAAAGAATCCCAAGCAGGCTTTACAGGCTTTACAGGGTCAGTGCAGAGAGAGAGAGAGAAAGAGAGAGAGGAGAGAGTAAGAGGGAGAGGGAGAGAATCCCAAGCAGGCTGTACAGGGTCAGTGCAGAGCCTATGTGGGGCTCGAACTCATTAAACTTGTGAGATCATGACCTGAGCCTAAATCCAGAGTCAGATACTTAACTGAGCCACCTAGGTTCCCTGATTCTGCTTTTGTTTGTTTATTCATGTTTTTTAGATTCCATTTATAAGTGGAGTTGTATGGTATTTGTCTTTCTCAGTCTGACTTGTTTCACTTAGCCTGATACCCTGTAGGTCCATCCATGTTGTCTCAAGTGGCACAGTCTCATAATTTTTTATGGCTTATAGCTTTGTAATATTCCATTATATATGTATACCACATTTTCCTTATCCGTTTGTCTATTGATGGACCCTTAGGTTGCTTCTGTGTCTTGGCTATCGTAAATAATCCTGCAATAAACATAGGAGTGCATGTATCTTTTTGAGTTAGTGTTTTCATTTTCTCTGGGTAAATTCCCAATGTTGGAATTACTGAATGATAGAGTACTTCTATTTTTAGTTTCTTGAGGAACCTCCATATTGTGTTCCCCAGTGGCTGTACTATTTGCATTCCCACCAACAGTGTATGAGGGTTTTCTTTTCTCTACATCCTCACCAGCACTTATTTTTATATTTTTGATTCTAGCCATTCTGACAAGGGTCAGATCTCATTGTGGTTTTGACTTCCATTTCCCTGGTCTTTTCATATGTCTGTGAGCCATTTGTATGTCTTCTCTGGACAAACATCTGTTTGGATTCTCTGCTTATTTTTTTAATAGGACTCTTTGTTTTCTGGTTCAGTTATATAAGTTTCTGATAAAGGGTTATTAATCCTTTATCAGATACATCGTTTGCTAAAGCTATTTGATCTTTAAGAAGCCTTTTCACATGGCATTGAGGTAGACAATAATTTCAGCTTCATCAGAGGAACATAAGGAGTGAGCTGTTCTGGATTCAGTCTGCTTTCTGTGTCTTAGAAGTTACAAAAACAAAGTGAAAGTTACTAATGAACTATACACAATATAAAATAGTTTATCTTTAAAAGGTCTATATTAAAAAAATAAAGGTCTGTATTTTATTTTTGTCTTCTTCTCCCTTTTCATTGTTAATCATTTTTATGAAGCTTTTAGGAAGAATTTCAGTGTATTTACATCTTAAATTCTTCAATCCACCTATATATCCTTTCATCTTAATATCAGTAAGCAAAAACAGATGGACATTTTAAAAAACTATTTGTAAGACTATCTCTTTGGTCGTTAAAGTGTGACCAGCAATAGTCTAGGTAAAATTATGAACACAGCATCATGTGTTATTAGGTACACGGTTGCTCAGCTAAACTTAATTCTTACTCATTTTTTTTCTATTCTTGCCTCTAATTATATATAATCTTAAAATATTTTAATTTGATCTGTTTTAGAATGAAAAAAATTAAGGTGGCCAGAATTAATCGAATGAGCATTTTTTGAGTACTAAAAGTTATGTAAATGTGTGTATGAAAATATACATGTATAAATATGCATGTGTAATAAAACATTTTTTAATTTTTTTTTGTGAACTGTAACACAATTAGTACATATATCATGTACCGTAATAAATCAAACATCGGTGAAGCCTCTAGCCTGCTTCAGATAACACTGTCTATACCACTGCCTTTGCTCATTATTGCCTGCCTAATCCTACCTCTTTCCTCTTCCCCAGATGTAAGTGCTGCCCTAAGTTGTGTGTTATTTGGTTTCTTGCTTATCTGTATGGTTCTATCACATGTTTCGTTTTGTCTGTGTTTTAAATTCCGTATGAGTGAATCTTCTGGAATATATCCTTTGACTTACCTTTTTTTGTCAACATTGGTTTTCTTTTTTTACTTTTAATTATGTTAATGAATATACCTGTAATCTTCACATTTTGTTAATATTTGGTATTCCATTCATGACTCCAACACAGTTTTTCCACTCTATTATTGATGGATACTTTGGTTGTTTCTGGATTTTTACTATTACACACAATACTGTTATGAACATTACTGCATACGACTCCTTTGTGCATGTACATAAGTTTCTCTAGTGTATATATCTAGAAGTAGAATTGCTAATTAATACTGTTTGCTAATGTTTTCCTTTGGATTTTTATGTCTATTCAGGAGAGCGATTGACCTATAATCTTCCTTTCATACATTATCTTTGCTTCTTTTAGCAAAGTTATACCAGCATCAGGAAGTACATTGGGAAATTTTCTCTTTTCCTGTTCTTTGGAAGAGTTTGTATAGATGCAAATTACCTGTTCATTTAGGTTTTAGTAGAACTCACCTGTAAACTGGGCTTGGTATTTTCTCTGAGAAGATTTTAAACTGACTATTTTTTGAAGGTTGTTAATTCAGATTGCTTCTTAGTGGGTTTGATAATTTATATTTTTTCCTTTTTTTGACTATTAAAAATGTAAGGAAACTAACGTTATTCAATAGTGTTTTCAGTCTAAACTAGATTGTAGGATTAAAGTAGCTATTTCAGTATTATATATGATTTGTATTTTAACCTAGTTATAGAAATACCTTTTAAGTTAAAGCTTTGAATAAAATCTTGTGATATAGTTAATGAAGATGATTTTCTTTGACCCATAGGAGGATCCAAATCAGATGAAAAAGTAGACTTGAGCAAGGATAAAAAATTAGCTCAATTTAACAACTGGTTCACATGGTGTCACAATTGCAGGCATGGTGGACATGCTGGTCATATGCTTAGTTGGTTCAGGTAATCGGCACATTTCTTCTTTAATAGGCTTGGAGTTAGAGGAGATAGAGCAGATGGCCTTTTAAGTAGTTCAGGTTTATATAGCCGAAGGATAAATTTCTTTTTCACTGTCACTGGAGTTAACAAAGATGGTGTCAGCATTTCTATCATTAGATATCCTATGTAATCTGAAACTATAAAATTAAGACTTATGTAAGATAGTTTAAATATTATGTATGGGTTAAATGTTTGAATTTAGAGAGATGATACATTTACAGTTTTTTACAACTAAATATCCAACCATAGTGTGTAATTGAAATTAGAAATTAAATGATGGAGTATACATATCAAACTACTGTATCAGTTACCTTCTAAATAAACTTGTTATATAGTAAGTATGCCCTTGATCCACTGGACACTCAAGCCATGCTTAACTTCTGCTTTAAATAGTGCCAGTGGCCCTTTCTCATCATTGCTATAACTTTTATACCCAGTTTGTCACATTGGCTTTAATTAAAACTCTGAGTACATCCCTGTCAACTTCATAACTGTAAATCAGGTATCTTATATATTTAAAAGGTAAAGCTATTCACTTTTCAATAACTTTCTTCCCAGTTCAGCTTGTCATTTGTTTTTTATTTAATTCTTTGGGTTTTAATTCCTGTAATTTTTCAAATGCCATTTTGAAAATTGTATTCTACATACAGATAGGTAATACAGATAAATGTATGTATGTATATGCTTAACTTAGATTTTTAATTGTTACTTGACCTATTTTTTTTAGGGACCATGCAGAGTGTCCCGTTTCTGCATGCACATGTAAATGTATGCAGTTGGATACAACAGGAAATCTGGTACCTGCAGAGACTGTCCAGCCATAAAATGTTATCACCTAAAGAGAAACCTTCAAGTGTGGAGCTTTCTAATAGATGTCCTTCATAGCTCAAAAACGTACCTCAGAACAAGTCACTCATGACTTTCCTGTAATGGGAAAATAAATCATTCTATCAAATCAGCAATTTGATGTTTGAGTGATTTTGATGTGCTTCACAGAGACAAATGCTGCTCAAGTGAACAGAGTGTGGGCATGAATTCTGTTCAATAGGTTGAAAAAGTTCATTGTGGAAGAGTTTTATAGGGTTTGTCAAAATTATGAACACTTTGCAAGCAGAGTTTTTGGAATAACCCAAGAACAGACCATGAACCTGTATCTTCTATGCTGAAATTAGGTATCTTTTCAGTAAGATCTGTATATCTTTTAAAGTAGATTAAAAGGACCAATTTTTACCTTTAGAATTGGAGAGCCCTTACTTCACAGTGGAGAATAAATTTTATCAAGGTATGTTGGTATATATGTTTTAAGGAGTCTATTCCTTCATACACTTTCATTTCAAGATAAGAAATCTTTTGCCACAGATCATTATTGTCTTCCTAAGAAAAGCCAAAATTGAGACTGTGTCTTACAACTTTATCTCATCTGAAGAGAAAAATATGTACCATTTCAGGGGATCATGTTGTGAAATTTTAAGTTTTTTAGCCTTTTGTTTTTGAATGTTCTCATTTGTCTTCAAAGATTCTCTCCCTTCTGATTCATCATTTTATGCCCATAATCTGTAAGCATTTTACTGAACACTAAGTCTATGCAAGATTATATGTGACCAACCACTCAGTTTCCCCTACTTCAGTATGTCTCACTGTCATATTCCCTCCTATTTTGCAATGCCCTGTTGTTTCTAAGGTTGTGGAGAGCAGAGTCACTTTGGAAATAATTATACTTTAAATGTAAGTTTCTAAAACGTATATTTGGGCAAATTCAGGAACTTTCTTTAAAAATTTTATTCTTTCCCTTTTCATAGCTAGATATCTGGGAGAGAAATAACAAAGGATTTGTAGCATGCATCTCTGTTATCTGACATATGCAGAGTATCAAATTGAATTTCGTAGTTGAAGTTCTATTCATAGATAAAGTAAGCATAAAAATTATTGTATAGATTTTGGAGAAAAATATCTTAAGCTAAAGAATTTTCAGAGCTTTCGTGCTAGCAATTATACTTGGTAGAATTACTATTTATTATATTAGTTTGAGGTGTGACCTAAATACTGAACAAAAGTGGATTCAATTTAGTTTTTACTTTGAGATCTGGTACAAAAGACCCTTTTTAGGGAAAACATTATATATCTGTTGCATATCTACTGTAAACATCTCACCTAGATGACAGTCTTTTAAACTGAAAGAATTTTTTTTTTTACAAAGATTTCTATAAAGGGGACTTTTTCCAGTCTTCTTTTAAGTAAATCTTCCTGACTTTATTTTACTTAAATATAACCTTTATCTTTACCTTCAAAATCACTTCAGTTGAAGTGTTCTTTTCAAATTTACTATGCCAAGTCAACTTTAAGTAATGTCAAACTATCATAATACATTTTCATTTCTCCTTAACTAAAGTTTGATAGAATTATTGAATTTATATTTATAATAGGGTTATACCTAAAATATTTATAATTTTGGGAAATACAACATAATAAAACAAAATCTAGTATATAAATAATCTGCTTGTAATCAGATGGGATGACATTTTTAAGATTCTCTATGCCTGTGTCAGTCTCCTGATATTTTCCCTGAAGCCTAGATATTCATGTCTATTATATTTGTTGTGCATTTCAGTGTATATGGACCATGAAAATAGATTCAAATTATTTTTCCATTTTTATTACTAGTCCCTGTATTTGGGATTATAAACTCAAGGTATTTTACTTAAACATGTTCAATAGAAGTGTTTAATAAAAATGTTTTTATTACTTTTTAAAAAATTGAATAAATTTGGGTTGAAGTCAGCATGTCTAATTGAGAATTTATCTTTGACTCCTTTACAAATAATCCAATAAAATAATATTCATACTTATTTTGATGACAAATTTGATACCTAATCTTAAAAGTAACATTTTTAAGGCTCTTTTTCAGTTTAATTTGCTTTCCAGGATGGTTATTCTTTAAAACGGTATATTTTAAAAGTGCCCTTCCATTGTCGTTGGTAAGTATTAGAGTTAGAAGAAATATAATTCTGAATGTAATTATATGGCCAAATTTAATTTCAGCTACTCATTTGACTGCAAATATTAAAGGTATTGGCTTTGAAATTTAGATATAATCCTAGCCCCAGTATAGTGGCCAAATGACTTGCCCTTGTCTCAATCTCCTCTTATGTTAAAAGGTACAGAAATACTTCATAGGATGGTTAGGAGTGATAAAATAAACATGAAGTACTGTATTCCTGTCACATACTAAGTGCTCTATAAAAGGTAGTGATTAAAAGTTATTGTTACTTTCATCTTTATTGGTTACTCCTCTATCTTACTTTTTAATTGAATATGGTATAATTTAAACAAAGTATGGTGTTACTCTAAGGACTAAAAATTTCCCAAGAGCTTATTTTCTGAAATCTGGATAAATTATGACTTGCTTTTGAGGTAGGACTTACCTACTTCTGTTTATAATGTATTTAGAATAATACTTTTGCTTTTTGAAGAAATCCTTCAAACAACCATCTAGGAGTTTGATGTGACACAGGGGTAAACCCAAGGATTGAAATTAAATTTTTGGTACATCTGGATATCTGACTGGTAATTCTTGAAAATTTGGGGTTTTTGTATCCATATTCAACTCTTAAATCGTGGTCTTGAAATGGAACATATCCAGCTTTATCTCTGTGTAATTTTTGTGTAATGTATTTTCTTCTATTTCATTGCACTTACATATTCATTTCAGTTAAAATGTCGGGGTGGGTAGTGGTAATAAAAGTATACTGTGAGGTTTTTTCCTCCCGTGGGATAGCTGTAATTAAATGAGTTGGGAATTAATTAGTCGTCCATGTCAAACATCTGCTCAGAGGCATCACAGGTAGAAGAGATGTGATAGGTGTTAGTTCAGCATCCTTAGCTTGTACTTGCAATTCACACGGCCATGACGGAGATGGGGCTACCCGACAGTTGATCTCCTCTCTGCTACTCCAACTCCTTCCATTACATCATCTGCCTGTTTTCCCTCTTGCCTGAAAATCTTGTAGGTTATTTGGCTGATATACAAAGCAGCATTTTACAAAAATATTTTGATAAACTTTTAATTTTTCCTGAGTATGGAGACCGAAGGAAAGCTTCCCAGATGTTTTTAAAAGTTAATGTAATCCAGAGATCAAATAACATGGATTACTAAAACAAAAGAACTGATTTCCCTTAGGAATATACAAGATAAATTCATAATAAGTAAAGTGAATATCAAGTCCAACAGTATATTAATAAGAATAATAGTTACTATAATGGGGCGCCTGGGTGGCTTAGTCGGTTAAGCGTCCGACTTTCACTTAGGTCATGATCTCGCGGTGTGTGGGTTCGAGCCCCGCGTCGGGCTCTGTGCTGACTGCCAGCTCTGAGCCTGGAGCCTGTTTCAGTCTGTGACTCCCTCTCTCTGACCCTCCCCTGCTCACGCTGTCTCGCTTGCTCTCTCTCCTAGAAATAAATAAAACATTTAAAAAAAATTAAAAAAAAAAAGAATAATAGTTACTATTGGTACTTATTATGTGCCATGTTCCATGCACGTCATCCTATTTGATCCACACAGTAGCCCTGTGAGGCAGGTATACTATTACTGCTCCCATTCTGTACCTGAGGTAGTTGAGGTAAAGGGACATGATGTCACTGTACTAGGTTACACAGCTAGTAAATAGCAGAACCATGATTGAGGTACCGGTAATCTGACTTCCTGGTCCGTACTTTTAATTACTATTTTATACTTCTATGTACTACTGTATGAGCTGTATATAAGAAATCCACTATGACAAAGAAAGGTTTTATTTAATATTAATACATCAAAACACAAAAAAATGTTAATAGGTCATTCAATGTAAAGGGCATTTGATAAAATTCAAAAATTTATTCCCAGTTTGTTTTTTAGATTTAGTGATTATCATGCAAAGGAAGTGTTTTTCCTCCATTGTTTCCCTTCTGTTTTACTATCTGTCTCAAACAGCTGGCATCATGCCTAGCGGAGAAATACTGAAATCCTTCCCTTTTATGGACAGGAATAAAATAAGGATCCTGATGTTACCACTGGTTTTGCACATAGCAGTGCAGAAGAGGAAAGCATAAGGAGGCACACCTTGGTTTTTTTCCAAGTCCTTAAAGTTTGGTGTGGCAAAAATGCCATAAATAGTTAAAAGGCAAGCAAACTGATAAACTACAACATGCATGACAAATACCCTTAATTCATAAGGAATATTCTCAAACTCCTAAAGACCCAACTAATAGATAATATTGATCAAGAACTTGTATAGGCAAAATAAATTACAGTGGCCAATAAGTAGAAATAAATGTTGAATCAGAAACTAATGCTAATTAAAACAATAGGATACTGCTCACCTGCCTGCATAGATTAAAAAGAATAATGTGCATTTTCATGGATGTGGGAAAGGAACATTCTCAGATAACAGTTTGTAAGAGGTTATATCAGTACAAGTGTTCTTGGCATGTGAGCAATATGTATCAAAAGCCTTAAGGTTCACACCCTTCGACGTAGTAAATATCAAATATATGGGAGTATTTCTAAGGGATAGTTTAGATAAGGGCACAAAGATGTATGTTTCGAGGAAGTGGTTCATTACAGTATTGTTTATAATGAAAACTTAAAAAACTAATAAAACTAAGAGTAAAGAAGTTGTTATGTCCAGTGGAATACTAACAAACTATTCAAATAGTATATATTTTTTATTGACAAAGGAAGATTCATGAGATATTAGTGAAGGGAAAGGCAAGTTATAGTATGTATAGCATATAAATATATTTTCACAGAACACGAATATGTATAAAAGTTTTAACCATGTTCATTACCGAAGAGTGGGATTTTAAGTGACAGTTTTCTTCTTACTTACCTGTATTTTCTAGTTTTTCTATAATAATGATAAATGCACAAATAATGTGCATATCACACACACATTACTGCCTTTTGTAAAAGTTACCCTTGAT